TATCGTCGGCAAAGAGATACAGATCTGATTGCACTAACGAAGGCAGGGTGTTGATATAATAGGAGGAATAAGGCTGGACCCAAGTGAGAGCCTTGTGGGACCCCAGCAGAGAGAAGACGGGGTCACTCGGTGAGTCACTAACTCGAACCTGAATGCGTCTGTCCGTCAAGTAGTCTTCAAACCAGCGGGTGGTCGAGGTGTTGGCAAACGAGGTGAGTTTTGTGATAAGGTCGTGGTGAGAACCTCTGTCAAACACTTTCGCGATATCCAAGAATATCATATGTTGTATGTACAACGCCGGTCCAATGCAGAGTATATTGTGTGTTAATACAAGGAGTTGATCAATTGCGGACCGTTTAGGAACAAATCCGAATTGTGTCTGGCTGAGGATTTTATTGTCCGTCAGGAAACGAACGAGTTGTCGGTTTACCAGCTTGTCAAAAAGTTTCCCAATACTGGGCAGGATAGAAATAATTGGACGATAACCTTCAGGCTCAGCTGAGTGCGATGGTTTTTTTTGGTTTGGGGACTGGTGTGATGACGGCAGTTTTCCATTGACCAGGGAAGGAGCTTGTCCGAATGCAAATGTTGAAGAGGGTTGCCAAAGAATCACAGATTACCGAGGCGGTCTCCCGCAGAAGAGTGTTAGAAATGGGTCCGCCCGAGGACTTATGGACCTTTAGCAGTTTTATTTCATCAAAGACTTGGCCAGGAGTAACCTCGTCCAATTCAAACAAATTTTCGACCTGTGGTGCTTGTGGTGTGCAAGGTGCTGTGGGTTGTGTACGCCGTTGGTGATTTTGTTGGTTCTGAGTCTGACTTTGTCGTGCGAAATGGTCTGCTAAGTGGTTTGCCTTTTCAGAGTCAGTCACTATGTCACAACCATTTGCAGAAACTAGAGTTGGTATTGTGCCAAGGGGTGAGGAAATGCCACATAGCCGCTTCATACGGTTCCACCATGTTCTAGTTTGGCACCCATTATTAAGGTCATGTCCCAGGCGGGAGTAGTAGCTATCTCTTGCAGTTTTGTTGGCTGAAACGAAAGCGTTGCGAGACAATTTATAGGCGACCCAGTCGCATAGGAGGCCCGTAGATTTAGCTCGCTTGAAAAGTCGTTCTTTAGTTCGGTGAAGCGTGCGAAGACTGGTGGAAAACCACGGTTTGTGGCGCGATCGTGTCCTGCTACCCTTCGTGATCAGTTTCATCGGGACATAGTTATTAACTGTGGATAAAAAACACCTTGCCATGCAAATAGAGCGCTGTCACCATGAGTCGCGCCAGTCATACAGTCTGAGAGAGGTTGCTGGGTGAGGTGATCACATAAGGCTTTGAAATTTGAATTCTTGTAGTCAGGCACCCACCTCGAGGGTGTCGTGTCGGCCGATTGTGGCGATGCATCAAAGTGGAAGGTAACTGGAGTGTGGTCGCCCAGTGGTGCAAGCGTAGATGTGAATTTCACAAAGTCAATGTTGTTTGTGCACACGAGATCCAGCAACGACTTGGAAGTTCCCGTGGAGGAGAAACGTGTAGGTGTGTCACGCATTGGATTATAGTACTAAGTTGTCCAGGGTATCTTGTAATGTCAGGCCCTCGCGGGTAGAGGTGTCTCCAACATTCCAAGTCGACAACTTGGCATTGAAATCGCCCGCAAGGACAATGTTATGTTTGCAAGTGTTTGACACAAGTTCAATTTTGCCAGATATGTCCTGGCAAAATGTCTGAATATTCTGCCACGGAGGCCTGTAGCAGTTGAAAAGCATAACCGATGTTGTTTTGAGGCGAAGTTCAACGCAGAGGCCTTCAATAGGAGGAGGAGGCTCCAAGTCAGCCCCGCGGGAAATGAATGCACTGAGAGACTGGTGGTAGTATATTATTGCAACTCCGCCACCTCGCCTCTGGGTGTCACTTACACGATCTTTCCTGAGTAGGAAGAAGTCGGGAATGGAGACTTGACCATCATGATGGGAATCGTTGAACCAAGTTTCTGTCACTAATAAAATATCAATAGAGTTTGCGGCTAATAGATATGTCAGTTCGGAGATCTTCTTTACTGCACTTTAGCAGTTTAGTAGACACACACGGACCATTTTTTAGTGTTTCTTTTTTTCAAATAGCTTTCAGTAGGGTCTGGCCGCAACGTATCAAACTCGGTGGGGCGACGTTTCTTGGAGGGGGAAACGGACGAACAAGGCAAGGAAGTGGCTGGTGATTGGATCGTGGGAGGAGATGCTGCCGGAAGAGTTTGCGTTTGTGTTGCTGGAGCTGTTGAACATGCAACTACGGAGGATTCAGAATTTGGTATAAGGTCGTCACTGTGGTGAAGATTAGTGTCGTTGTTTGTTTGTTCAGTCCGCGTCGAGTCCATACTAGTGTTGGTGTCGGCATGAGAATCTGCTATAATAAAATAATAAATAATCTTTATTTCAGGATTACCCAAAGGCTAGCGCCTATCGGGGGGATCTCTCTGCTTTCTGAGTTTTCTAGAGTGTGGTTGTCAGCTGTTTCATCTGAAAGATCAGGTTTTGACTGCAAGGAAGAGGAGGCAGCGGTCACGGCAGCAAAGGTTGGGTGAGCAGGGGAGGTCGAGGACGCATCTCTTGCCGGCTGTGTAGTTTCGCCAGTGGGGAGCCCCGTTGGGACTTCCTTGGCTTGTGAAGCGCTTGTTTTGGCCGAGTTCACTTGCAGAGTTGAACTCTCGGCAGTGCGGGAGTCAGTTCCCGTATCCGCCGCACTTTCTGCGCTGCTAGCTATATCCGTATTCGTCGGGGATGTCGTGGTCTGCGTGGTTGTGGTGGACGTGCAATTTTTGGCAACGTGTCCAACTCTGTCACAAACTCGACACGATTGCTGTTGCCCGTGGTGCCAAACCCGAACCCTTCGTCCCGAGACAGAAATGTAGGAGGGAATGGTTGTTTTTTTCAGCTTTTCGGCGTATGGCGACTAATCGAGTCCCATTCAAAATGAACACACCACTGGGAAGGCGGGTCTTTGCAAAGGTAATCCCAAGCACCTCTCCATGGTTAGCCAAAGCATTCTGTATGCACTCAAATCCCACCCACAGTGGTACCTCTTGAACATGGACAGTTACGTTCCTTGTGTCGATCGCGGGCGTGGCAGAAATACGTTCACCAGCCACAACAATTCCATTTGAGCTCAGTGTTTCCTGAGCTGATACAGAGTTTAAAGTCAGCCTACAAAGCCGACCTACATACTGGATACCAATGACAGGTTCCTTCGAACCTGTACTTGTTTCCAACGCAGTGAGTAACTCACCGCTTCGCGCTCCGAAAGGTTTCGCGTAAAGGCTGTCGGTAAGGTCCAGGAAGACAGTCGGTTTCCGTATTTCCTGGGGCGATAAGCCGCCCAGGGCTGTTGAGGGCATACTTATGACAGCAATATCAGAGCTCAAAAAATGTCAACCATACACTGTTACGTCACAAATGTTTACGAGGTTTCTTTTAGTAATTACTCTTAGAATAATGGAGAGCTATGGAGGAGACATACCGGTACGCGAAGTGAATATCTAACAGACGAAGAAGAGTTTTCTAGTTGTGCCAGAGGCTCTGGCGATAGCATCTCTAGCGATACTGAAGTAGACACTGATGCATTGCTAAATTTGGACCAGGATGAAGGAGCGGCTATAAACAGAAATAGCTCGTTCCAAAAGAACTGTCTTTGCCGAGTCCAGCTCAGGAGGCTCGAAAAGAACTAGAATTTCTCATGGACTCAGTACCAAGTCGATTTCTGAGCAGCGCCTGTCTTACTTTCCTAATGAAGCACGTACAGTTAGTTGTGGACGGTAGTAATGCCAGGCCTACAGTCCAATGCTATCAGAAAGGAAGAGTATTGTGGCAAGCCATACATCTACACACCACCTCAAGGAGAAGATGAGAGCACAAGCAAAGGATGTAGAGTAGAGTGGCAAAATAACTTCTGACCACGTGTTTTCAGGATTTCCGCAAATGGGAGGTCTCTCCATCTGAGATCGGATCTCAGGAGCTGGCCTCACGCATGGTGTTTCAGTTGAAGACATTATTCACAGAGTGGACACAGTGACAGCTTGTCTGCAGGCAGGAATACTATTTTCGGCCAAGATTAACTTCATCCCAACAATGAATGACTACCTGCAATAATGGTTTCATCTCTCACTACATGGATAATTAGGGGAAAGACTACACCGACTATTCTGCCGCAACCCTGCATCAAAGCTGGAATGGAGAGCAATCAATGGAGAAGCGATCATGTCTTATAGTGCTAAGAAGTGGTGGAGCTCGTGAGAGATAAGGTGGCAGCTTCAGATGCAGATCGACGATATGCATAATTTCCTGGAAGTTTGACAATGTGCAGACTTTCTTCCATTTTTGTCCCAAACAAAGAGCATTATATCCCTTCCTGAAGCATTATAATCAGTATTATAAGGCAATTTTTGGAGCATTAAGGTTAGCATTATACGAACATTTTCGGAGCATTATCCGCTGGACCCTAGCGATGGGCGTCAAATGGTGTGTGTGCGTGTGTGTGTATGTGTGTGCGTGTGTGTGTGCGTGTGTGTGTGCGTGTGTGTGTGTGTGTGTGTGTGTCAATTCTTCAGCCTTGCAAGCTGTTGAATGGTGCAATCCTAGCACAAGTTGCTATGGCTTCTGCTGTAGCATCGCTATCATCAATGGGCGTCAAATGGTCATGGTCAATGGTGTGTGTGTGTGTGTGTGTGTGTGTGTGTGTGTGTGTGTGTGTGTGTGTGTGTGTGTCCGTTCCGTAATGGGTATCAGCCAGCGGAATGTCTGGGATGAACGACTGACCAGGGTTGATGTTCTGGAGCGGTGGAATCCGCGTCAGCCCCGTGACATCCCCAGCCTGCTGACATCGCGCCGCATGGAGTGGCTTGGGCATGTTGTGCGAATGCATGAAGAGCGTGGCCCGCGTCAGCTACTGTTTGGCACCCTACATCCTGTGCGGCCCGAAGAAAAGGTGGCACGATGCTGCACGGAATGATCTGGCAGTGTTGGGCATCGACGAATGGTACGACTTGGCCGAGGATACACGGGAATGGTGGGCCGCTTACAATGGTCTGCCCCCGCCCGAACCCGTCTGTGGGCCCCCTGCGGATACCTTGTGCCGAGTGTGGTCGTCTCTTCTCCAGGAGTGGTTCGCCTCGTCATAAATGCCTCGGTGAGCGCCGCAAACCTGTATCGGAACAGACAGGTAGCCGACAATGTTCTTCCTGCAAGCGCTGGTTCCGCAATGCCGGAGGTTTGGCGGTCCATAAGTGCCCAATCTCCCAGACGCTCCCCGCGGTATCGTCTCAGGCTCCGTGCCGGGCAGCGGTGTCTACCAGCATCATGACCATTGCTGCTCAGACGACTCCTCCGCCGCCGCCTCCGCTTTCCGATGCATCGATGATCATCAGCCCGATGCATGTCGATGACCAAGAACATCATTCTACCGCGCACACGGCACGTGGCACGTGCACATCCGTGGTACGCGGTAAGTGGCCGCGCCGTACAGTGCGCTTGCATTTTTGGCTTTTTTGTAAAAAAAAAAAAGAAAGAAAAAGAAAGTGCGACTCAAAACTCGAGTTGCATTTTTCAGAGGGGTCGGGAGGACTTCTTTGAGGTTCGAAAGACCAATTATCTAGCCTTCCAGCTGATGTTGGCTGTTGAGAAAGAATGTTCCTGTTCAGATAATTTTAGCAACTTGCTTAGCTCCGTAAATCAACAGAAAAGGAAGATTTATTTTTTAAAAAGATGGAAGAACAGCAACAACAGGAGATGAGTGGTGGAGATTCGAGTATTGTTATACCTGGCCTGGGAAGCGACATTGTGCCTTCCTCTGCGCACGCAGGGGTTAGCAGCAGTGGCAACATTACATCACAGAGCGCGACCGAGGTGAGTGTCCTGTCTTTGCCTCGCTCACACGTACACTCATGTTCTCTCCTAGATCCGGCTCGGATCAGAGCTTTGATCGCAATCGTGTTTGTTTGAATTGTGCCATGATTGAATGTTTTCAAAGAAATTTTGCGTACGTGGGTGCGCTCGGTGCAGATGAGTTCAATTATTGTTTCATTGATTCACTAAGTGTAGGTTTGTCTGGGGCGAGGAAAGTCTTGTGAGCCTTGTGAGTTTATTCGTTCACGAAGCGTATCACCTGCATCAACAGAAACTAGTACTAGGTTATTTCCACGCATCGCAGACGTCGAAACTCAATATCTATTCAATATCTATGTGCACACGTGGAGCAAACCCGGCCATCTCCGAGCCCTCGGTGCATTACAGCAACTGGCGCGTGTTCCAGATTGAAGCTGAATTCCACCGCGTAGCTTCGGTGTTGCTAGACTCTCCAGGAAAGTCTCCGAAATTTCCAATGTACGAGTACGTGCATTGCATGGTTACCAGAGCAAGATTCCCAAGTGCGAAGTTGGATTGCAGTAGATCTCTGATAGGACCCCCACCCACCCACCCACACACACTCCCCATTGATTATTCCCAACGCTATTCAAATTATGTTACATATTAGTAGCGTCTGGCGTGGCCAGTATTCACGGCGCTTTATTTTACATGTGTGTGTGTGTGTGTGCGTGTGTGTGTGTGTGTGTGTGTGTGCGTCTGTGTGTGTGTGTGTGTGCGTGTGTGTGTGTGTGTGTGGCGGTGTTCGCATGTAACACAACTGATCACAAATATACTTGAACTGTGTTGCGTAAGGGGTCAACCGCATCTTGTGTGAAGTAACATGACACTGGCTCGGTTTTGTATTATATCACTGCTTGATGATGGGATGATTAAACTCTAAATTGCGGCTATGGCCTTGTCATCCAGCGTGTGCGAACTGGAGCAATCTCCTTTCTCTCTCTCTCTCTCTCTCTCTCTCTCTCTCTCTCTCTCTCTCTCTCTCTCTCTCTCTCTCTCTCTCTCTCTCTCTCTCTCTCTCTCTCTCTCTCTCTCGCTCTGTCTCCCTCTGTCTCCCTCTCTCTCTCTCTCTCTCTCTCTCTCTCTCTCTCTCTCTCTCTCTCTCTCTCTCTCTCTCTCTCTCTCTCTCTCTTTATGTGGGTGTGTGTGGGTTTCTTTGCTGCTGCTGTCACCACTGCTGTTGTGGGCCCCTTGTCATTTATTCTACTGTTTTCTATAACTGTACATACATGTACTTGATGTTGACTAATCCCCTACAGCCCATGTCGGCAGTGGGTGATGCAGCCAATGCCATGCAGCAGCCAGCGGCTGCGGACATGTACGCTGCTGCATCTGACAGTGCCACTGCGGCGACGGCATCAGTAGCACCGACGATACCCGGATCGAACGCATCTTCCTTAGCCGCTGTCGCCGATCAAGGCAGCTCTGCTTCGCACTCCATGCCGAACACAGGTACTGGATCTCAAGCTGCTTCCGATCAGGCCGCTGAGGACGACGGTCAACCACGCCGTCTTCATGTTTCCAACATTCCCTTCCGCTTCCGAGAGCCGGACCTGAACGCCGTCTTTTCGGTGAGTTTCCGATCGTGTTCATTTGTGTGTGCGTGTGTATATTTGCAAATGTGTATCAAAAGCTCTCTCTCTCTCTCTCTCTCTCTCTCTCTCTCTCTCTCTCTCTCTCTCTCTCTCTCTCTCTCTCTCTCTCTCTCTCTCTCTCTCTCTGTGCCATGTGTGTGTATCTTTGGCTATCTCTTTCTCCATTAGGTAGCGTGGGCACAATGTCTAGTACATCCACATGTGAATGTTGATGAGAATTGCCACTCAATCCTTGCCTTGTACTCCCCTGCAGCCTCACGGCGAAGTCGTAGAAGTGGAGATCATCTACAACGAACGCGGCTCCAAGGGATTCGGTTTCGTGACGTTTCGCCACCCGGCTGACGCCCAGCGAGCGAAGGACGCTCTCAACCGCACAACGGTGGGCAATCGAAGTATCGAGGTCAACAACGCAACACCACGACATGCGGGCTCAGGCGGGCAAGGTGGCTCGGGTATGAGCGGTGGTGGAATGGGCCGTGGAGGCGGTGCAGGTGAGGATCAGTTGAGTAACTTAAATTGAAGCACTTGTTATGTTAGTACGATGGCACTTGGACTTTGGACAGATGCTGGGCGATTATGTGCTGCATCCTCGTGTCTTTGTGGGAATGTGTGTGTGTGCCCCTTCTCCCTCCCCCATCGCTCCCGCTTCTTGGACCTTCACGTAGCATTGGTCCCCAGTCTGTACATGTATTCGTGTCTCCATGTCGGTGTGCTTGTCTGTGTGTGTGTGTGTCGGTGTGTGTGTGCTTGTGTGTGTGTGTCGGTGTGTGTGTGTGTGTCGGTGTGTGTGTGTGCTTGTGTATGTGTGTGTCTGTGTGTGTGCGTGTCTGTCTGTCTGTCTGTCGGTGTGATGTGCCGTTGCTGTCGGTATCTACGTATGCAGCATGGAGAGGTGGTGGTGCCTCATCCAGAGGGGGCTTTGGAGGTGGCTATGGAGGCGCTGGTAGTCAGCGAGGGTGAGTACTACTGAGTACCACTGCTGCCGTGCATGCTCCTCTTGCTGTGGGCACGTAAGGGGTTGAGGATAGAGTTGCTTGAGTCAAGAAGTGACAGGGCTCCTAGGCATTTCAAGCCTGTGTTTAGCGAGTCGACCACCCCGTTGTGCAGGGAACCCAGTCTAAATTCTGTACACAGATCCGTACACAGATCCGATTTAAATATGTATCAGTATGCGGACAGCCTGAGTGAGAGATGTGGGCGTGAGTTGACCAGTTTCTAAAAGGCTACACTTATAGGTGATCTCTTTCTTCAATACTTGATCAACGCCACTTTTCACTGACTGAAATCCGAACATGGCTGCAAGCATACAGTACTGCCGGGCGCCGAAGAACTGGGGGTCAGGGTTCTAGCCTAGCCCGTTCTCATTTTTAGCGAACACAGCAGCTTCGTTCTTATTCAATGGTACTGTACAGTCTTACATGTACATTTATGCAGAGTTATGCGTCTGAGTGTATATTATAGTGTGCATTACCGTTTCCGTTCTTATCTGGGGAAAAAATCCAGCCTAGACCGTTCTTATTAGGGCCCACAATTATTTCACGAAATGCACTGCATACGCGAGCCCAGGTACTTATCTGGTCGTAACTTTGGTGTCCTTTGGCCGATTTTGGTGATCTTGGGCTTTCTGGAAAGCGCCAGAGGAACACAGCGATAGCCAGCAATACATCACTCGATCCACAGAACCAGCGCCGCAGCGCGATACAGCGCTCCAAAGCCAGCATTGCGAGCGCCCAACTCAAATTCTCTGCCATTTCAACAAATTGCATCGCAGATCGCTCAATTTTTTTACTGGAGAGCTGAGAAACATGCCTTTGCGATGACGTGAACTATCTGTAGCTGCGTGGGCCGCGAGTCAGGGAAAACCCCTAAAACGAGTTCAAAATGCACGCGCTCGAGTTGACTCTGCTGAGCGAATTTTGTTCGAGTCTCGTATCTCCGCTCTCCGAACTCGGATCCCTTTCGGGTTTTTTCGAGCCGATAGCTGAGACAATTCTAATGTCGATAGCCCTTTCGATTGTCCGATTTGGTCAAGGAACGGCTGAGTTATGCCAGGTTGCGCTTTGAAAAGTATGCACTGTACACTGGTACGGATATATCCGTACTATGGGCCTCAAAGGGTTAAAAAATGGTGAAATTCTAGCCTGGTCGTTCTTCGGCGCCCGACAGTACTGTAATGCAATTACACGACTTAAAGTATTCGTATGTGAAGTGAGGACTAGTATGGGTCGTCGCAAAGGTGTTTTGCTGTCCCTGAAACGAACACCGTTCATTTCGTACTCGGACCGCCTCCCTCTGAAACGAACGCAGCGTGCTATGCTGGACGACAGGCATACCACGGTACAGTACCGGTCGACTTGCGATATTGGCTTCCCCCCCCCCCCCCCCCTGAATGATGCTCATTTCAGGGACGGCCCCTTGTGGTTTTCAGCTTGATTTTGTAGCAGATGTGTGCGAGGGAAATCTGATTGGGTTGATTAGGTGCAGATGTATGTGTGCTCACCACTATTGCTGTTCTGCTGGCTGCACACAGGCGCTATCAAGGTGGCCCGTCGTACAACTATTACGGCGGTGGTGGTGCTGGTGGCGGTGCCGGAGGCGGCACGGCTGCTTACAACGCTCCGTACGGACAGCCGGCGACGACCTACGGCGCAGCACCGCCGTACGACAACCGCTACCAGGCAGACCCGTACAGCGGTGCTGCCGGCGGCGCTGCCCCCGGATACTCGAAGTGAGTGGGCACGGTCACGTCGGAGTAATGTAATCTTGTAAGAGGGGGGGGTCTCGGTACCCGGCATTCCCATACAGTGGTGCCGCCGGCGCTGCCCCCCCCCCCCCCCCGGATATTCAAAGTGAGAGTGTGGGCACAATCACTGACGCTGGAGTAATAGAGAGGTTCCGGAGTACGACTTTTCGTGCCGCGTATAGGCGCTTCGGATTTTTGTACGTCGTTTTCGAGCAATGAAATGTTCCGGAGTATGGAAATTATGTGTTTGGCACGGAAAATTGTTCCCCGGAACCTCTCTAATGTGACCATGTAGGGTGTGTGTGTGTTTGTATGTTTGTGTGTGTGTGTGTGTGCGTGTATGTGTGCACTGTAAGTCCAGGTTGGTTGTGCTCCCCTCGTGCCATTCCCTCCTCCATGTGCTTCAATGAGTGCTGGAAATGCCCTGTTTGTATTTGTCTGGTCGTCTTGCCCCTCTCTCTCTCTCTCTCTCTCTCTCTCTCTCTGTCTGTCTGCCTCTCCCTCTCCATTCCCTTTTGTAGCAAGACCTGCCAAGATATCATGATTTCTTTCTCAAGCTGACCGTGTTGTCTCGTTGTTTCCTGTACTGATCGTTTGTTCTTGTCGTTGTTGTGTTGCATTTCTTGCCTCTATCTCAGCTATGATCAATACTACCAAGGGGTGAGTTCTACATTGCGTGCTTGATATCCTTGGGATCCTCAACCGTAACGGCTGTGTCATTATCACATAGCCGGGAGGGGGGGGGGGGGTCAAACTTTACAGTGTTCACTCCATGCCCTCCTCGTCGGCCTCGTGGAAGTTGCAAACATTTTAACACATCATGAACATTCAGCAGTTTTAAAGCACTGTGTACCACCAATGTCACATGACTGAGGTCTTCCCTTCTACGCAGGGCATCAGTAGCACAGGGGTAATGTGATTACAATCATGTAGATCATCATTCGAGCTGTTTTGTACGGATTGGCATCACACGCACGACAGTCCATTCATAAAAATAAAAAAAGATGGGCCCTGGCTCTGGCGAGCTCCCGTTTTTGGCGATTTTATCGTACATGGTGCAGTGCCTCGAAATTTGAAACTTGAGATGGGGTCCAAGAAAGGTGCCTCAACTGTGGTTCGAACCGTACAATGCACTGTTGCAAATAGAGTGAAACGGCCTGGATTTTCTCATTTCAATGCTTTTAGAGCAAAACCTTGCTGGAATCCTATTCTTGTTACGGTTTGCTTTTTAGAGAAACAGACTGCAGAAACTTAGGCTGCGTTCGTTTTTAGCTACCTGGTAGAGTAGAGTAGAGTCGTTCTACCGATAGAGGTAGAAGGTAGAGGTAAGTTCACGGACGCTGTCCTACTGGATTTAGTCGTTTCCACGATATGTACGTGAAATGTTTTCTTCTCTATGAAGCTGTGTACATCTCCTTAATCTTGCCCGAAATCCCGTACCTCTACCAGTTTATATCTGGCAGAGCCGGTAGAGAAAGGTAGCATCTACTGTTTTGAGTAGAAAGAAAGAAACGCATCCACCGAAAGAAGTAGTTTCTACCCGAACCTGTAGATCAAAAACGAATGCCCCGATAATTTGAAAGAGCATTCCATAGGGGATTGCCAAAAAAATCTAAAAAAGCTTAAAGTTTGACCCATTTATGGCCAAAAGCTAGAATGGACTGTAGTTTGCCACTCTGTACAAAGCATATACGATGATGTCATTCATTACATACAAAGCATAATAATATTATTATGCTAAGATGTCTTTTCCCTAGCCTCTATGACTATAGTCTATTTGGACGGTTTCTTATCATGCTGTTTGTGCAGTTTCGGCAATTTGTAAATAATTATTTCTTCTCTCGTGTGTGTGTGTGTGCACGTGCGTGTGTCTGTGTCTTTGTGTGTTGTGCATATTGGTTGTTTGGCGGCACAGAACACGTACGCCCCTCCAGCGACTACATACGGGTAAGTTCCCGTTGGTTACTATTATCTATCACCCGAGTATTACACGAAGTATGAAAGCTCATGAGCGGGAAGTTGCTGTCTTTCTTTTGCTAAACCTTTCCGGGTTAGTCCCAGTCCAGCTCGGTTGCTGTTATCAGTTGTGACCCTGCCTAGTCGTTCGTTTAGACAAAAAAAAAACCAGTTTGCGTCTCTCAGCCTCACCTGACTAAATTATAATAGGCGAGTCCCAAAAATGGAAGCTTGTGATTGTGCAGTAAATGCTGTGTTTACGTTACTTCGTGTTTGCATTTGTGTGTTGTTCATGTTCTCCAGACCTGGCTACAACTATCATCAATCGTATGGCCAGGTGAGTCCCTTGCCTTGTGTTTTCTGACTTCTCTCTCTCTATCTGCCTCTCTCTCTATCTATCTATCTATCTGCCTCTATCTGCCTCTCTCTCTCTCTCTCTACTCTACTCTACTCTACTCTACTCTACTCTACTTCGGCTGCTGTGGCCATGCTTGTAGTAGCTGTTGTTTGCAAACTTTCTTCCGCTCCCTTGCTCTTGCTCACTCGTTCCCTGTACTTTCCTGTGCGTGGCTGTGTCTGTGTGTGCATAGAACCAAGCATCTTATCGCGGTGGTGGCAATGGTGCAGGTGCAGCCCAGGGCATCGGTGGCGGCGCTGGCGGTGGTGCTGCAGCTGGAGCACCTGCTGGTGCCTATCGCTATCAGCCGTACTAATATGGATAAGGGACGCGCTGTACCACCACCACCACTAGCAGCAGGAGGAGGGGGCGTGCGCTCGCTTCACTCTGGTGTGGCGTGTGTGTGTTGTCACCTACCAAGTACCAAGCCTGTCTCGTGTTTCCTCGCGGCCAGTGACGTGCGCGTGAGCTAGCATTGTTTGTCGGCGCTTCTCGTTGCGCCACTCCGCACAGTGCTCTCCGCCACGCCACGCTCTCACTATGTGTTTTCTACAAGCCCTGGTCACTCTGTGTATAATGACCAGGGCTTCAGTCCGTGCCTTGATGACTTTAACGTGCCCGTATACCATACAGCGGTGATTGCCTCTCGGCAAGACAACCTAGATACCGTCGTCGTCGATGCTTCTTGAACTTGTACATGCTCAGCCGGCAGACATGCGTAGGCGCCGATGTGTACGTGTGTTTGTGTACGTATGTGTGCGTGTGAATGTTTAATTGTTCGAGCTAAGGTTGTATACGCCGGTGGTGGTGGTGTTATGGTGTTTGCGGTCAGCCTTGGCATGCGCTCGTTTGTGTTTGCTCTCTTGTTGCCAGTCGAGTTGCCGTTTGGTGTCCCAGCTGCCACTCACATTCCGTGCCATGCGTCTGTCCTGGGTGAATTCTGGGCCTCTACATATATGGAGGCCAGCGATTGGCCGCGTCCATGCGAGTGTCACGCTGACTACGCTGTTCGAGAGGACCCCGTTTTGCCGTGTTGTAGCACCAGCTTGAATGTCGAGTAGCCAGCTGTTGTCTAGTTCACACCCGACTGTCTGACCGACTGACCGGCGCGGGCTTATGGTGGACTCACTGTGAAGCGTGAACACACCACTGCGGCTCGCGTCGCTTGTTCCTCTCTCTCTCTCTCTCTCTCTCTCTCTCTCTCTCTCTCTCTCTCTCTCTCTCTCTCTCTCTCTATTTTGCACCGTACTGGTTCTTGTCTTTTTCTGTACGTCTCCTTGCTGTTTGCCCTTATTCCCTCACCGGCTATCTTGTGCAATGCTCAGGCAATCATACTGCTTCACTGGATCCATGTCTGCACTGCTTTACATAGTTTATATTTTGCCGTCCCCTGTCCCCCCCCCCCCCCCCCCAAGGTCGCTGTTTCTGCCACAAAAAATTGCTGCATTTTCTCGTCTGTTCGAATTCGGTGGCTTGTGTGGTGTGTGCTCGGCTATTTTATTTTTTGTTTTTGTTTGATTTTTGTCCTAACATTTCTAACCCGAGCCTGCATGCCCTCTGGTATGATGTTGGTCGTGTTGCGCGCGCGCGTGTGTGTGTGTGTTCATGCCACGGCCATTGCCACGGGCAATGTTTCACTCGGTCATTTGCCCGCGCGTACTCGACGAAGGCATGCCAGTAGGTCTTGGTGTGAAGCGGGGAATAGTTCGATACCTGTTATTGTATATTATATAGAAGCCTTGCTTGATACGTTTAGCATGTATTCGTAGTCGACAGCATGTTGGAAGGCGGAGGACGCATGCGCGCAGTGCTCCTGACGACAACCATAAACTGCGGGACTCTGCCGACCGGTGTATTGTTGTAACAGTGAGGAGCACTGTGTGCGCTTGTAACATGCTGTCGTCGACTTCGAAAACAAACTTCAGAAGTATTTACCTTTTATTGTACTACTCCCTGGTGTGAAGCAAGGACCAGCATTGCAGAGTCATGTCGATCCTGGCTGTAATGCCTATTAATTTTCGTGTTTGCCAGGGAGCCCTACACATGACTTTATTATGTGTAGGGAAAACTAGGGATCCCTGGTGTTCGCTGGTTGCGGCAGCCCTGGCCACCATGTTTCACGGCCACTGCTACAGACATGTAATCCGTAGTCAGGGCCTCAGGGGACTGTAAGTGTAACACCACCACTACATGTACCTGATCTACAAACCAACATTTTTACTTTTACTTTTAGCCATACCCAACCCGGTACCCAGCTTTGCTCGGTAGATCAGCCTATTGCATACACACAACATGTACTGGCTAGCCAAACGACTACACAATCTAGTCATCATGCTGGTCACTGCATCATCACTGTGACTGCATGCCATGCATGGTGCTTGTCACCTGGTCACAAGATCGGGAAAA